TTCAATGGGAAATCAGGGTATAATGGTTTTGTTGAAATGTATGTAACAGGGAGAAGGAGGCGTGGCAGACCCCACAAAGTATATATATTCTTGATCAGGGTGACGAGCTGAGTTGATTTGGCCCTGTCCGTCTGTCTGTCCGTCTGTCCGTCTGTCCGTCTGTCCGTCTGTCCGTATGTATGAACGTGTCGATTTCAGAAGATATAAGAGCTAGAGACTTCAAATTTTTTTTTAAATGTCCGTAATTACAGCGCGCATATCAAGTTTATCATTAAAAATCGATAACTCATCTCGATCTTTTTTTATCGATAAAAAACCTTATCGAAACCCAGTTATAAAATTATATCTTCTACACCTTTATTGCTAGAATCTCCAAATTTTTAATGTATGCTTATATGCAATTTATACAATTTCGGTTTTTGTTAAAATTTACCCCCCACCTCTAAATTCTCCCCCTCACCCTCACTTTTGTTAAAAGCGTATTTCAAATACTAGAGACTTGTGCTTTGGCAATTACATGCATATTCATGTTATAATCATAATCTAAAAGTTTCATGAAGATCGTACGTCCATAAAAAAAGTTATTAAACAATTAAGTTCTCATAGTAAGCGCACACTGCAGCCCATGCGTGTTTATGCGTGGTTGCTTGTGTGTGTATGTGTTTGTGTATGTGTGTGTGTATGTGTGTGTGTGTATGCGTTTGTGTATGTATGCGTGTGTGTGTATGTGTGTCTGTATGCGTGTGTGTGTATGTATGCCTGCTTTTGCGTACGTGTGTGTGTGTGTGTGTGTTTCTTGTGTAAGCTGAAAGTCGCGAAAAAGTATTGAAATATCTATTGCTCCAAGGGTTCAGGGGATCTCGTAGTCGAGCAGTCTCGACTAGAGCTTTCTTACTTGTTTTTTTTTTTTTTTGGTTAACTGTGAAAAGTAAAATCAATCTATTTTGTGTAATTATATACAATTATAAATAAATTATGTACAATTATAAAAAATACAACATTATTAGGAAATTAAAGTTCTTAAGATTATTAAACTTATTAAGTTTTAAATATTTGTATGTTTTATTTTTGTACTAAGGTCGAATCAATTTGTTCATTAACTAAGATATATATATTTACATGTATGAGTATTGAATTTTCCTAAGTTTAGTAAACTTAAAAACTTGTAACTTTTGATTGAATTTTTGAACGCTAATATACAAGTTCAATACATCAATTGACATATGTTCCGAAAAGCTTTATACACCTAAAGATTAAAGATTTCGTAGGCGCTCTATAGACCTGAAGCATTATAGTAGTTTAGTCGTTTATGTATGCATATATAACTGTCTACAACTATATTTTAAATATTTAATTAGAATTCAGAACATTTCTCGGAAATATACTCATGGACATTGTTTTACCGGAAGATCAATAGAACATTTATCCAAGCGGAATAGCACTTGACTTCCAGTATTTGGCTTTCAGCAAAAGAAACAAGTTAAGATGATCCATGACACGTCAGCGCACTTTCTGGCTTACTGTCATTTATCGTGACTGGGCAGCTGGCATACTTAACTATATAGAGCCACGTTTGGGCTTATGTGTATAGGAATTGGGCCGTAATGGCAGCCGTTTAGCGGTCGTCGCATTTATTGTCGGGGCGTTGCCGTGGGTCTGGGTTTTAATTAGCCTTGAGTGCGTGTTTTGCGCCAAAAGGCATCAACAAATTGTTACATAAGCCACAAGCGAACAAAGCGCTTTAAGGGCCTAAACATTGTCGTCACTCGGCCCGGCCAGCATTTGCAATTGGCCAATTTACGCAGCAAACAACACAAAACACAAAACACAAAATACAGAAAACAACTTAAATTAAATTGAAAGAGCAAGAGCAAAACGTTGAAATGGCTGAGCAAACGCGCGGGCGTACTTTTGACTTATAAGGATATGTTAGCGCTTATTATGACCCTGAATGTTGCTGCAGACCAGGTCGCCGAGTCATGGCAAATGTTAAGGTTGCCGAGGTACAACCGGCCGAATAGAACTGGAAGCCAAAGGGGATTTTAATTCGCGTGTTTACGACAAAATCGCATGTGCAGCGCGTTAAGGGATCCAGCAGAAGCAAAACAGCAAGAAACAACGCGGAAAAATCGTGAAATTACAAATATTTGCGAATACATGAAAATATCTGCAGTCACATTCAAGCAAAAGCTGCACAGACGAGGCCGAAGATAAGCAATGACGGGTATGCAGATACCCCGCAATAGTCAGAAGTAACTTTCGCTTAGCGCCACCAGTAAATTAACCTTTTCAGTAATGTACGAAAAGATAGATACCCTGCAGTCCCCATCGAGAATTATTATATCTTATTTATTTTACTATCGTAAGAGCTACAATAATTAGGGCGAGCGACTGTATATTTTGAATATTCCCGCGACAAATAAAATATTTGATTTAAATACCAACATACAAATATTGTATATAACCACTATACTACTCAAAATAGATAAGGGCTACATGGATGGAGTCTATAAATGGGTAGGAAAACCTTACAACACCAACGATAAGAAATTATGAGAACATGCATTAGTCTGTGTATAGGGTATAATGAAGATCTGACAAGAATAGAGAACAATACTAAAGCGAACACCATCATTGTCATAGTGTACTCTAGGGGATTCAGCTCTAGTTCTAATTAATCTATAGTTCTATTCTCACTTGCCAATTATTGCCAAGTGTTGGGTAACTGACAAAATATAATTTATAGAATATTATACAGTAATGTATACCATTATAGAGCATATGAATTAAAATAATAAAAAAAAAAGAAATCGTATTAAAACGTGCATGGCAAGCACAATGCACACAGTGCTACTTAACATAGTTTCACTGTACTCACCTTGTTGGGTTGTACAACTCCTGTGAGAATCCTCTTTAAATACTCTACACACTTTAGTGCTTCCAATATTTGGCGCATTTAACAGAATTCGATGGTTCAGTCATTTTTGCTGCATGTAAATATGTGTGTGTTTATGTGTGCGATTGAGTGAGAAAAGTTTGCCTTCCCTTCATTTTTTTATTCTTCACTTTTGGCTACAAGATGATTTCGCTTTTTACTTTTCTTGCTCGACGGAACTTGAAGGTTTCCAACCGAAAGTCAAAATAAAAAGTTTGCGCATTTTATTGTTTGATGAGTTTTGAATGGGGTGTGGCGATTGTGAAAATTGTTTTCAATGGATATTTCATCGTTCTCCCACTCTGCTCTTTACATTCTCAACAATCATCCATAACGAGTCGCGAAATTGATTAATGATGGATGAGTGTAAAGCTGTATTCAATTGAAAGGAGCGAAGCACCAGAAATTTTAATCTTTAATATGTAATAAAAAGTTTTGAGTTGCTATGTTCAGCTGAACGATGTTTGGCGTTTGATATATTGCTTGTTGAAGTATTGCCATATTTAATGTTGAAAATAAAACTCTGAATGGGATATTATTATTTTGTGTTAAAATATTTTTAACCTTTGTACTCTATTAATATTAAAATATTTCTATATCCTGAACCCGTTAAAAATTCAAATACAGGCCATAATGGGCAAATTATGGAATGACAGAAGGTGGCGTGGCATATCAAATATTTAAGTGTGTGTGTGAATGAGTCGTTTGTTATGGAAATACACATAATTGAAACGAAGAATCTCTAATATATTCACTTCATTATATTTTATTTAAATATATTGTGTGGAAAAAATCCCTTTACATATTTAATATATACATATATATTTTAAATACATTAAAAAGATTTTTTTTTTCATCCATAAAACTTTATTATCTTTTTGAAATGCTTAAGTATCTTCTAATAACATATTTTCTTGAATATTTGATGATTTCCACATAAGATATAATGTTGTATCTATTTGTTGGGGCATGCCAATGAGAACTTTGCAATACGATGTTTATCTATTTTTAAGAATCCTATTAATAGTTATTGACAACTAAATCACTTTTTCTCACACTCTACATCTCTGACAATCCACTTTGCAGCTTAGCAAATAGTTTTTAGCATTAAGGATGCGTGTCTACCATAAAGATTCAGATTGATTTGAATGCTGTTACTGTGTTTATCGATTATCGTCGCGTTCCTTGCAGTAAATCCGTCTTTATACATAAGTTTAGATAAAACGAGAAATTATTAAATTGAAGAGCCTATGAGAACATGTTGTGCATTGCCAGGGATATCAGCGACATGCAACTAAAATGCAACAAATTTCGATTTTAATTTTAATTCACAATACACGAAGAACAACAATCAGATTGTGAAAATGTAGTCTAGCCTGATGTGAACTGAGGATTATCAATCGTTGAGTATGTGCATGTCTCATTCAACTGTGTGTGTAAAACAAAATAGAAATTAAATGAAAATTGAAAACAGAAACAAAAGCAAATCGTAAAATTTAAGACGTGCTTTAGGAAGCTTCCATATTAAACTGAAGTATAAAGCGAAAAGCAAAATATTCAGATACAAATTGAAACATATATATATATTCTATTCAATTGTTTACATGTCTTTGTATGTGTGCTTGTGTGTGTGTGTGCGTTAGGCTTTAGACGCTTTTTGTACGCTAATGGACACTAGTTAGACAATTACCAAACAAATATTTATATGTATACATACTCATACATACATACATGTATTTAGCAGATAAGCAACGTACAGTTTATGTATATACATAGCTAATCCAGGCAGCTTTTAGCTTTTAAAACTATATGTATAAATAGAGAAAAGTAATTCAATTATTTTTATCATACGGCCCGCGTGGACAGGAGAGTTGACACAAAGGATACACACAGACAATACGCCCCGAAAAGTATGCAACAGAAATAATTCGATTGTGAAGAGAGCATATTTTTGAAATGTTTATAGGCAGAGAGGATCGTTAGAGTCGTTGCACATATTTATAGAAAATCAGAGCCCAAATATAACATTTTTAAAATAGACACCAAGCGAAATACAATTTTTTGACATATATATACTTATATATATTTTTTGATAAGCCAACAACAACAACAACAACAACAACAAGAACAAAAACAAGAACAAGCAATGCACAATGTATGTATTCCCTAGCCTAAGTTGAGTCTGCGAATTGCTTTTGTATGATTTTGTTAGTTCATATATACGTATATATGCATTTGAAGATTGTTATACCAATGAAAAATTTACTTTTGATGGTTTCAATGAGGTTTATTTCAAACAACGTTTTGTACATGTCACTCGGTTGAAGCTTAAGCAAGTAATCCAAAGTACAATCATTTTTGTCAATACAGACACAAAACGGTAAGAAAACGAATGAAGTCAAATATTCTAGATACTACACTAAAGCAACCTAAGCGAAACTGTTAGAGAGGATAGCCACATCATATTAGTCATATATACAGGGACAGACAAGAAGAAGAACAACAACAACAACTACCACATAAACAAACAAATTTTGCTAAGAATTTTAACGTTTATTTTTCCAAAGACACGCTTTATAAAACCGAAAGTGAAAGAAGATAAGAATTGCTTAAAGTGAGGTTAGAAACACTAAAAGTAAGGTTAGAGCTGACAGAGATAGCATAAGAATAGTTGTGCTTAGAATTGAATCGGCTAAAGTGAGATGAGATAGTCTCACGAGAAATTGTTTGTTAGAAAGGGAGAAAGTGAGGTTAAACCAGCAAACAGTCCGCTTAAACTGCCCAAGAAGTGAGGCTAGCTCAACACTCAGGTCAGGCAGCCACTCGATTCAGTTAAGTCTAGCTTAGTTTACAACTGCCAAGTATTGCAAATTAGGAAGGCGCAGCGCAAATCGATGCTAGATCTAAGCTAAGCGAAACTAGAAACCGAATGTTAGTTAAGCGTAAGCCATAGAGTAAATCCAGAGCCTGTATACCTAAGCAGTAAGCAACATGTATGCAGCTGCTGGCGGCGCCTCCTTGGCCTCGCGCCAGGCGCGCCAGCGCCAGCGACAGCAGAAGAAGAACCAACAGCTACAAGCGAAACTACATCCACCGAAACCAGCTGGAGCCGTCGTCGGCCTCGGCGCCGCTGATCATGGCGGCGCCTCGACGCCGACGCGCAGCCAGTCGCGGCAATTCCACCAGCTGCCCACCAGCTACTTGCGGGCGCCGCAGCAGCCGCAGGGCCGCAAGCTCAGCGCCACCTACACGCAGTCCCGCTCCCTGCTGCCCATCGAGGAGGGGACGGGCGGCTCCGACACGCAGTCGGTGCTCCAGCTGCGCATGCACTCGCACTCGCACGCGCACTCACACTCGCACATGCCCGGGCACGCCCACGGCCACGCCCAGGGGCTGCAGGGCCACGGGCACAGCCATCTGCACCACGGTCACGGGGGTCCCGTGCAGACGCCCTATCAGCAGTTCGCCTCATCACACGGACGCGTCTCACCGAAGCTCGTGCACCGGCACAGCGGCAGCAGCGCTGGCTTCCCCCCCGGAGCAGCAGCAGAGGGACAGCTGCACAAGTCGGCAACGGCGACGCTGCCGCTGGTGTCCCAAATGGAGGAGACCCCGCTAGCTACTCCTGCGTTGCCATCGGCTGCGGTCGGCGTTAAAACGACGGCGATGTCGATGCTGGAGACAGACGCCACGCCCAGCACCTCAGCGGCGGCGGCCGCCGCCGAAGCCGCCGTCTCCGAGCCCCAATTGGAGCTGGCCGGCGCGGCGGCCATGTTTGTAGCTCACCATGATGCGATCATTGTAACGCCGGCCACGCCCATGGCCTCGCCCGGGCACGCCGCCGCAGCGGCAGCAGCCGCAGTGAAGCTGCGGCGAGCCGACGACGACGACGAGCCCAACGACTCGGCCGAGCGCCAGCCCCTCACAGCCTACGACGAGGACGAGGCCATGCAGCCGCCCAGCGGCCCCTTGGAGCGCAAGTGCAGCGTCTATCGCATGCGTCGCAGCGACGCCTTCGAGCAGGGCGACCTCGGCGTCACCAGCGGCCTCAAGCGGCAGCTGCGCGAACTCCAGTTCCAGCAAACCCAATACGAGCCCCTCGTCAGCGATGAGCCCCAGCTGCTCTTCAAGGGCCGCAAGTTCCAGCTGTGCGCCTACTGCGAGGAGGGCATCTGCGTCTGCGAGCACATCGAGGTAAATGAGGTCCAAGTCAAGCCCCAGCTTGCCCAACTATCTATGTATATTATCTAGTATCTGCATCTGTATCTGTATCTGTATGTGTGTGTGTGTGTGTGCGTAATCTTAACTGTAATCGTAATCTATTGCTAGCTAACCAATGCATGTTCCCCATTCTAAATATCAGCTGTGTACCTAGTTTTATAAGAGCTTTAACTGAGGTTGGCATGCCCCAGCGTATTATTATACAGTGGAAACTACTATATGTTGAATATTCTAAATTATATTTTACTGGACAATAACAAGCAAGTTGCTTAAACAGAGATGAGCTCAACCTTATCTAAATAACACACAGCGGAAAGCCCTAATTAAAAATATGTAATATGTTATTTAATATTGTTATTATTATTATTATTATTATTATTATTATAATTTTTTTTTTTTTTTTTTTTTTTTTTTTGGTTTCCCAGAATTATGCATCAGTTGATCTATTGATTAAAATTATTAAACATTTCAAATCTCATGACATATCGAAGAAATACTGCCAAACTGAAATGAGTTTCACACACAAATATTTTGTATTTGAAATCTTTCAACTTCTATGATAAATAACCTATCTATAATCTTTGATCAACACTCTGCTTCCTTTCAATATATTATGTAATAGCTAATGGGTGAGAATGTAAGTCTTTGCTTTATGATGATATACGATTTATGATGAACTCCGATGCTGAACTATACTCCCCTATATACTATGAATTACGATATTTAGTTCGCTTTGGTCACTTTGGAGTGGCTGTCTCAAAGTTTTCCCTGTTTTTCGTGGCTTTTCACGTCTTCACTTTGTATATATGTATGTGTATTGCTGTATTGATTGGAATATCTACAAAAATGTTCTGCTTCATCTTTGAAGGCAGCTGCTGCCAAAGTCAACAGCTTCAATTGACCCACTCGGAAAAGCACAACAAAATGTGTCCTTTCGTTCCTTTCAGTTGGGTTCGTCTAATATTTTTCCTATAGCTAACCTCGTTTTGAAGCGATGCCATAACTGGCAACAACAACAAATCGGAAGCGCATAATGTGCCTTTGTATCGGGCTGATAATGCGACGCCTACTAAAAGCTTTGGCAAGCTCTTGCATACGAGCGCCCACATCTTGCCACGCCCCCAAGCAGATGCCAAATATTGTGTAAACGGCAGTCCTCAAATGTGTGTCATAAAAGTGCAGCATTCGGTGGCTTATGATGTGTAACTGTGGTGTCATGCGGTGGAGCAGTGGTGCAGAGCTACACTGGTATTGTGGCTCAGTGGATCAGTGGTGCGGTAATGCAGAAACTGAGCGGTTCAGAGTAGCGGCTTTAAAGTTTCGCTCTTAACGAGCTCCCAAGCAACAAATTAAAAAACTTAACGCTGTGCAATTATTTGACTTGCATAAGCAACTATAAAATAAAGCTACAAAAAGCCAAAAGCGGAAAGCATGTCAGAAAGCTGGCTGGCTGCGAGCTGACCGACTGTCAGATACCCACTACTTGGAAAACGTAATTATTTAGCAAAATACTTTTTGTTTTGTATTGTATTGTGATGAATGCGTCCCATACTGAGAGTCTATATAGAATTTCTTGTATTTTGCTAGCTGCGAGCCGATCGACTGTCAGATACCTACTACTTCAAGAATTTTTGTATATGTATACTACTTGGAAATGTTGCAAATGTTGGAGTAACATCATAAGTGATGAATGCATCTCTATCCTTAGCTAATGAATACTTGTAATATGCTAAAAGTATTTTACCAAAAAAAAAAAAAAAAAAAATACTTTTAATATTTTACTAAATACCTGCATATTAAAAGTGTATATGGAATTTCTTGATTTATGATCTTACTATCTCCCTCTTTTACTCCCTCCTTCTCTCTCGCTCTCCCTGTCTGCTCGTCGAGAAATTCTATGATGGATCTACATGTTTCTTATACTCTATATCTTACAACCTTATTGTCTCGTCACTTTACGCACATATCTAAAACATGTATAGGTCTTGCAAGGCATATCTTCTGCCTGGGCTGCCTTCGCACAGCCTCTCTGCAGCTCACGTTGCTTACAGAGTATTAAAATTGCACAAATTAAACAAAACTTTTGCACAAAGCAAAATCGCTTTACCCCAACTAAGTAAAATGGTTCCACCAAAAAATATAAAAAATACAAAGGAAAGCAAAACAGGAAAAAAACGAACGGCGGCTAAAATTTATTATATTCAACGCCCACCCACGTCGCATCCACCCATGCACCACCCTTGTGCCACCCGCCTCCTGCACGTGCTGAGTGGACACTCAAGTTTTTAAGAGAGTCATAGATATATATGTAGTACGTACTACAAGTACGTACTATATATGTACTATATTCATGCTAGATGTATATATGTATGTATAAGTTTGTATATATGCTTCCCTCACACAGCAAGCACAAGAACAACAGCTAGTAAATTAGCTGGAAAATAGTGGAAAAAGTGTGCGGCAAAATGGCGGACGCTGAAAATGTGAAAAATAGAACGAAAAGTGCAACAACAACAACAGTAGCTGCGAAAAAAGTCATAAAAGCAGGAGAGCAACATGAAAATGAAAATGAAAATGAAAATGAAAATGAAAATGGCAAATAACGTGTTATGAAAGTAAAAAGCTCAACGAAAGGTGTAAAACTCTGTTGGCCTCTAGTTCTCTAGCATGAATTAGCTGCTAAAGCGAGATGACAGCTTTACGACAAGCAACTGCATTAGGCTTAATTACGAGCCCGTACAGGATGACTGATTTCACAATATATGTAGTATCTTTTTGAATAAAGGAACTTGGAGACTTAGCTCTAATACATCGTGGAACTAAGAAAAAAGTTTGTATTTTGGCTTCCCTAGACTTCCTGAAATATGGAAACATATCATAACTAATGATGGCAATTATTTGATAATATAACTCAGAATATCGCAGCAATGGCAAAAAAGATAATGGTGGATGCGTGATTGCATGATTTCGGTAAAAATAACTTGAATTTCGTTAGAAATAACTTAAATTAATGCATACATAAATATCTCAATCGATCACAAAGGTGACTCTCTGCCCTATTTATGAATATGTTCCTTGAAATCATTGAGCTCCTAAGCGACGTATTGATTAACTCGTGAGCATATATATCATTTCTGAAGTGCTGCATTAGTTAGTTAGAACTAGTTAATGAGATAGGCGATTTAGTTCGCGTCTTGTGCGAATCACGCCAAACATTGTTCAATTTTGACGTTCTCTGCCTATCGATTGTTCAAGCATATCGATAAATTCAACTGCATTGCTGTCCAAAGCAATTTGCCAAGTCTAAATGTAACTCTGACCAATCAACAAGATTCTGTGGCATTACGATGGAATCAAATCGTTAACGCTCAACTGCACAGCCTTCGTTTTGTCCATTTGTCAAACGCCGGCTTCCTCTTCCTTCCGCCATTTTTAGGGCATCCCTATATGCTCCCTCCCTCCCCCTTCTATAACTGTCATCGAGCAGCAATTTAATTTTCAATTACGTGAGGGCTGCCAAAAAAAAAAGACTGAATGCGAACTGCACACCATTCCGAAATTGCAGTCTCTATAATTACTCAAACTGTCGCCTGTGGCACACTATCTGCTGAACCACGCCCCATTGGCCCATCTACCCATCCGCCCATCTGCCCATCTTCTCATCGACTGGCTTTTCACAGGCTCTTCATCATGGTCAGCCTGTTGGCTGGCTGACTAAAATCAGCCCCACGGAGACTTGTTGGGCACGATTCGTTGTTGTTGTTGTTGTTGTCGTCGTATTTGTTTGTCAGGCTTGTCGTTTGTTTCTTTTTCGTACAACAGTGACTGTTGTTGTTGCTGTTGTTGTTGTTGCTGCAGTAATTGCAAGTGACATATTGAAGCCCCACTTACCCCATTTGATGCGAATACCCTGCACACTGCCAACACCCCTGACGGCGCACGATCAAGCGACAATCAGTGTGGACTCTTGAGTTCGCTTTTTATTGCATACTTTGCGGCGGTCGAAATTGAATTTCAGTTGCATAATTCATTCACTCTCTCACACACACACAGACACAGAGAGTGTCTCTGTGTAGTTGTTGCCTTCTTTGATTCGAGATAAACGCAACTCGTTTATTACATGACCACATTTAAATTCATTTTCGATTTTTTGCTTGGCTCTTGTAGCGGCGCTCTTTTAGCAAACATTTATCTTCAATAGCGTGAGTGTGTGGGTGTGTGTGTGTGTGTGTGTGTTCATGCGCTTCGATTGTTGTCGCCGCCAACGACAATAAAAAGCATTTAAAAAGACACAAATTATAACGCGTTTGCCCACAGAACTCAATTGCATTTGACATTTTTATGGCCCACAAATTATCGAATCGAGAAGTTCTGCAAATCACATTCGTCTATAAAACAGTTTTATGCCATGGATAGCTTCAACAACAGCGCAATGTGCGGAAAATACAAAAACAAAATATCCGAAGATATTATCTTAAACAGCAGTTAAAATTTTCAGCTGTTCCAAGAAATTTGAATTTGAATTTGTTTTATTCTCACAGTTCATCAACAAGAAAAATCTGGTAGAAATAGGAATAAAATCATTTCGAAATTGAGAAGAATATATTATATTGCAATCTATTTCAATGTAACTTTATATAGCCGGATGGTTTGAGCTTGAGTCACAGTGAGCTCAATCCATACACTGATTTACATTCTATCAGTCTCTACTTAGCAAGTCCAGAAAGTTAAATCTAAAGCCCGATATTTCCAACGCTTTATTGAGAAGTCTTTAACTAAACGCAATTCTCTTCGATTTTGGCCAACACTTCAAATACAGCTCGTTATTCAGTGCTTCAGATTCGTGGCTATAAATATTATCAATTAGCGCGCCGCAAATCAAACGAATGGAAATGGCTCAATAGCGTATGCTCACTTAACGCTTGGTTAGTCCGTGCAAATTTGGTTTATACGGCTGAATAAATAACTCTCAA